TGGGAGAACACATTGTCAGATAGCTTGACAGAGTTTTTGCCAAGCCGCTCGGCCACGTGGGCGATTCCAGAATGCAGGGGGCGGCGGTGATTCGCCGTGGGCGTCTGCGATAAAACAGTTTGGGGCACATCCCCAGGCCACCATGCTCGTGCGGAGGTGCTCTCCGTTTGCAGCCCGAGAGACGCCCGGAGGGGGTCGTTGTGCTGTGTGGCAGCGGCCCTGCGCCGCATGCCCCGAATCAGGGTCTCCACGGGGATGGCGACTGAGGGTACATGGTCATACGGTCTCCTCCTCCGCCTCACTTCAGTCTGCATCCTCCTATTACATCCCCTCATCCTCCACCTTGCTTACCATCGTGCTCTCAACAATGAATCCTAAGATTCCTCCTCACCTTCCTCCTCCTCCGCCTCATCCACCTCATCCTCTTCCTTGTCTTCAACCTTCTCCTCCGGCTCTTCCTGCTCTCCGCTCCTATCTCCTCATGCGGACTTCATGGAGAGGATGAGACAGGGCTTCTGGATACGTGCATCCGATACCAACAGGCACCCCAGGTAGCCAAACGTTACGACAAGCAAGCGAGGGACTCAAGTTCGACCGAGTGTACGTAGGTGGACCGCCCCGCGATGCAGTAACAACAAAAACGGCAGGCACCTGAACTTTGCGAGGTCCGCGAGGAATTCTCAGGTCGGCGCTGGACCACCCCCTGGGGCGCGGAGCTGGCCAGGGCCAGCGCCAGGGGGGGTCCAACGCCGACCCAAGAAATCCGTGCGGACCTCCGAAAGCAAATGTTGACGCAGTCTCTTGTGACTCGGAATAGTCGGGTGGACCACTCCAGAAGCCCTGAATCCTAAACATTGGCATCTCCGAGCGGGGGGAGTGTTTCCTTCTGCCGCCCTCTGCCTTGGAGGTGGCCAGGACTCTGAGCTGGATACGATCGAATCGGTCAAGCAAGGCGGCTGAAGGCAAACTCGCTCAAAATCGGTCCCCAGACCTGATGGGCCTGTTTTCCACCACCACCATAATTTGGACGGGGGGGAGGAGGTTGAGAACGAAGAGGACGAGGAGGAGGACTCATAACTTCTGTGCCAAAGAAGCTGTCGAAAGGGTAGCGTATCAGGCGCTCGCTTAAACGTGTTCAAGCCCACTTTATCTCCGGTTCCCCCCAACACGCCCTCGAGGTCGCAAGGTCCACTCTGGAGCCAGACCTCGGATGGGAAGCGCTATCTGAAACAGCTTCTACAATGGAATGGGGGCAGCTAGTCCACTCAGGCCTTTTTTCCAATCAAAAACTTCATCCTACTACACAGGCAGGCAACCTCCTCATTCAATTATTTTTTCACCCGCCTGGGCTCAAGCCTCTGTCTCTCTATAAGCGCACCAAGCCGGCCATCTTCGTGAATTTCTCCAGCTTCTCCCTGGTCATCGGCTTGGTCATCATATCGCTCGGGTTCTCGTGACTGCATACCTTGCCGAAATGCAATCGGCCATGTTCGCGCCGCTGCTGCAGCGCCAGAAAGCGAATCTCCACGCGCTTCAGCTTTGCTGGCCCGCGCTTCTTCACGATGCGTAGCGCGCTGCTGCTGTCGCTCATCGCAAGCGGCACCGTCTCCTTCCACTCCTCGAGTAGTGGTGCCAGTCCGAGAGCCTCTGCTGCTCCCGAGCCTAGCGCGTAGGGCTCGCTCTCCGCCGAACTCAATGCCACGCAGCCCTGGCGTCTCGACCCTGGCAGGACGGGGCGCCCGCGATGCTTCAGGATAGATCCTGTCCGTCTTGTCATCGGCCCAGTCTGTGTCCGCCCATTACTCCACTGCAATGCCCCCCTTCTTCGGAACCAACTGCATATTGCAGTCGCGCGTGCCTGCAAGGTAGAACTCCAACTCCACGTTGGATGTCATGACGGCGGCTTGCTAACTGCAATAGCTCCCCCACGCAGGTCCTGAAGCGACTGTGGCCCACCGTGTCCAGCGTCGCCCCGTCGCTCTTCATGTGCACCTTGTTCCTGGTCTCGGGCAGTGCTGATGGCTGAGCCGTCTCCAGGCCCAGCTCCTTCAGGATGTCGTCGGTCTGGCTCGTCTTGCCGCTGATCGCGAAGCCGCCCTTGGCCTTCTCCACCTGCATGCTCAGGAACGTCGCCTGATCTCCGTTCTTGGTGAGCTTCACCACGTCCGATAACTTCAGTCTCTCCCCCATCACCTCTAGCAACTTGTCGACCTCGTCGCTCGGCCCAGTGATCAGGAAGTCGTCTGCGCGCCTCCCTGCCCCCATGCTGCTGCTCAGCTTCATGCAGAGACGCCAGTCGTAGTGATCCCTGACCATCTCGAGCTCCCCCACGGCGTTCGCAATGTGATCCCCCCAAGCCTTCGGCGCTCCTTTAAGTCCTGGAAATGCGCGCAGCGCCCCCCGCGCATGTCCTTCAAGCACTGCTGCTTCTGGCGGCGGCTCCAGGAACGCGCGGTCCCCAGTGAGCGGCGCCTGGTAAAAAGCCCCACTGCAGTCGCCAAGCGCCACCACGTAAACGAGCAACTCCAGGTTGACCAGCACCGCCTTCAGGTGCGGAAGTGAGGGGGTCGCGACCTGCTGCTCGAAGCCCCTCGTGGTCCACCGAATCTTCTTGCTGCCGTCCAGCTGGTTAGTGTCGACTCACTTCCCCGTCAGGATATTGGACGTCGTGCCCTGGATCGGGATCACCTTTGCGATGTGCTTGCCGTCTCCTGCGATCTGCTCCGAGTGGCCCTTCCTTGCCTCCGTGAAGTCGCCCTCCAGTGCGTGCGTCTCCTCGTCTTCCACCTGTGGCTCCTCGCACGTCTCCCTGACCGATCATCTGGATGGCAGTGACCCTGGACTACTTACCTTCGCTTCCTGTTCCACCTTCGCGTTCTCGCTTGGGGCTCCTCTCTGCCAGCGGAATACCCACTGGCTGCGGTGGCGCCGCCCTCGGCGTTGACGGCCCTGCCACCTCGTCTCTGGGCCTCTTCACCTCCAACCGCCTCTTGTCCATGTCCACGTCGTCGTAAGGTGCTGCCGCCGCTGCTGCTGCTGGCTGTGGCGGCGTTGGCTGCGGCCCCCCTCCTGCTGCCGCTGCTCCTGCTGCGACTGCGGCTGCCGCCGCCTCGCCGACTGCTACGACGGGTCTGGTACTTGAGCATGTGGGTCTTCTCGTAGGGCGCGAGGTTGGTGTCCTCCCTGATCGCGTCTGTTGTAAAGCCGCGCTGCATGCCTCGGCAACCATGCGAGGAACGGGGGGCCGGGCTTGAGGTTGTGGTCCAGCTTCTTGTTGACCTGCAGCATCAACGTCCGCGCCTGCTTCCTCGCCGCCTGGACGGCTCTTTCGGCCCCGCCGTTCGCCCGGCTGTTGTGCCGCCCCGACTGCCGCATGAGGATCGCCTCGCAGATGCCGCCTTTGATCGCCCTGGTCCTGACTGCCATGATGAACAGGACCTGCTGCCCCTCCTGCTTGTAGTTCCACTCGTGAGTGTCCAAGTTCGGCTAGCCACGAAACCACCGAGGCCACGGTGTGGATGTCGTCGCGACCTTTCTGGATGATGGCTGCGCTCCAGATGCCCCCTGTCGAAGCGTCACTGCCCGCCACGCGCTCGAAGTTGACGGGGCCCCCCTCGGTGCCCGCCTGGCCGTAGTCGAAGCTCAGCAGTGGGATCAGCTCGCCGCGCCTGTCCTTCTTCTTGTGGGCCATGACGTTGGCCTTCGCTTGAATGCAGATCTCGCGCCACGGTTCAGCTGGGTAGTGCGTCGACTCGTGCCTCTCGAGATCCTCCCCGCTCGGCTCTCGAGGTCCAGGATGTCCACTGGCTGTCGTCTCGGGCTCCACCGTCTCGCGATCGCCGGGAACTGCCGCTGGCCCCTCTGCCGGCGCGTCCGCTAGTGCATCTGCGGCTCCTCGTGATGCGACCTGCGGTTGCCGCCGCTCCCCTGGTGGTAATACTCGTGGCCCTCCTGCCTATGCTCGCTGAACTGCGTCTCCGTCTTCGCCCTCTCCACCTGGTCGCGCTGCTGCGACTGCCGCTCCGATCGGCGCCAGCGGCGCCATCTCCCCGCGGACCTCCCCCATGTCATCGTGCATCTTGGTCCAGCACTCCAGCGCGTAGTGGTTGTTGATCTTCTTGAGCTTGACCAGTCATGCCGCCTCGTGCCTCATCAGTCCACCTCTGCCGTCGTGCCGGACCACGCGGTTCTCCATCCTGCTGCAGACCTGGCCCACGCTCATGATGGGCTGCTTCACGTCGGTGACATGGAACTTCATGACGATGCGTCTGTCGCCGGCTATGTAGAGCGTCATCGTCTTCGATCCGTAGTGCTTCAGTGGCGCACCGTCCGCGACCGTCAGGTTGGGGTTGATGCGCCCTGGTTGGAGCTCCACGTTCGGGATGCCCCTGGCGCCGCGCACGTGCTCATCCGCGCAGTTGTCCGTGAGCACCCAGAACGAGCGCCACATGCCGTCCCCCATCATGCTGCAGACCTTTTTCTCCTGCACCTTTGGCTTCCCGTCCCTCGCGACAGCGAAGATGAAACCACCTTCCCACTCTGACGCGCCCTCGTCTATCGCGGTGGTCGCTCGAGCTCCTGCCCCCGCCTGGCTGGCTGAAGGTCCTGCTGTAGATGGTGCTGGACTTCCTGGCGGTGGTGTTCTGATATTGCTCCAGCCGTCGTACATCGCGATCTCGTTCGCTCCTCCTTTCTGTCCTTTCTTGACCTTCTGCTAGTCCTTGTCGCAGTTGGGGTTCTCCTGTCGATGCCAGCAGCCCCTGGCTGCCCCCTCTGGCCACAGCCGTAGCAACGCCTCGCCCCAGGCACTCCTGTCATACTCCAAGCTTGCTGTCGCGCTGCTGCTGCCCTCGCCGCGGGATCCGCGCCCTTGCCCTTCTGGTCTTTGCTCCTGTTCTTGCCTTTGTCGTCTATACCTTGCCTTTGGCGCCCTTGCCCTCGCCTTCGGGATGCTGTTGCGTCCGCGCGTCCACCTCCATGGCTCCTGAGGTTCGACTGCCTCAGCCGCCTGCTGCTCCTGGTCCTGGCGGGCTTGGCCACTTCTGCTGGCGCCCGTCCTCGTGCACCGTCGCCGCTTGCAAGTGCTGCATCGTGGTGCTGATCAGCTCATCGTAGCTCCTCTCGCTCTGCATCTGCAGTGCCGCCCTGATGTTCTTAGGCGCCTTCTGTGGGTAGATGCTCTTCTCGGTTCCTGCGTTGAACACCTCCCCTGGCGCCGTCTCGTAGCGCCTGATGTCGCGCACCCAGTCTGCGCGATGCTGCTCGAACCCCGCCAAATCCGAAGGGAAAGGCTTGACGTTGATAATCGCCGTCGTGATACCCCGCACCCTCATGGCCGTCGCTGGCTCGTAGCGCTTGATCAAGGCTCGCCACGCCAGCGCTCCGTTCTGGTCCTCCACACTCCTGATTGGCATCTGCGCGCTGCCCTTCACTGTCATGACAAGCACAAAGATCAGCTTCTTCGTTGCCGAAGCCCCCTCGGCCCCCAACCGATGTAAGGTCTCCGCTATGCTGATGTCTGGATATCCTCGCTGCTCGGCCGCCTCCAGAATATTCAGCGCCTGGGCCGTCTGGACGCCCAGGTACGCCATCATCACGAAGTTCCCCATCAGTCCAATGCTCCTCCTGGCCGTCGAACGTTGGCGGCTTCAGCCCCGAGCCTTGCACCAGGCTCCGTCATGGTCACGTAGACCTCGTCCTGCACGTTTGTGGTCACGTAGATCTCGTCCTGCTCTTTGGTGGTCACGTAGACCTCGTCCTGCTCTCTGGTGTTCACGTAGACCTCGTCATGTGCTCTGGTGGTCACGTAGGCCTCGTCTTGCACTCCTGTGGTCACGTAGTCCCCGTCTAGCTGCTTGGTCACGTAGACCTCGTCCAGCTAGTTAGTCACGTAGACCTCGTCCAACTGCTTCGTCACGTAGACCTCGTCCAGCTGCTTGGTCAGCTGGTTGCCGTGGATGGCTTGCCCTGGCTGGCCGACCGCGGCCGCGAGGGCAATGGCCAACGCACCTAGCTGCGGGTGGGGCGCCCAGCGGGAGCTGGACGTAGCCAGCTCCGCTACCATGATAACTTTGGTGCCAACGAGGCTGCGGAAAAAGTCGCGTATCAGGCTCTCGTTTAAACGTGTTTAAACCCGCTCTATTTACGGCTTCGTTCAACAAAGACGGAGAGGACGAAACGGAAAAGGAGGAGGAGAAGGTGGAGGAGGACCCCCTCCCCTTCCAATGTATGGTGGCGGTGGTGGAAAACAGGCCCATCAAGACCCCCCCCACGGTCCAAACTGAACAGCTTGTCGGGCCGCGCCCCGCCGCGGCGACTAGCGGGCCCCTCTCTCCCCCCTGTCTGCTGGCCAGGGCCAGTGCTGCGCCGCCCCCACCCCCCCAGGCCGGCTCCAGCTTCCGGCGGCCATTCGCCGACCAAGGCGCCCCCGTTGTACACTCGACCAGGAGAGTAAAGATGCGCGGTAAGGATGCACTGGCATTGGAAAGGAATGTCGACGCTTCCCGTGCGGAGCGCAGCAGAATGCCGAAGGATGCCGAGTATCGAAGGGGCAAGGATGCAAGGGTAGCCTTGGAAAGTTGCCCCATCCTGGTTGACTGTACCTCCGCTGGCCTCCCGCCGAGGCAGCGTGGGCAGCCCCTCGATCTCTCGAGGGAGAGCCCTTCTCCGCAACGCCCTGGGTGGATCGCCCCCGCAGGTCCTGAGTTCTCCAAGGAAGCTGGGGCATCCCTTCGGGGAGGGAACCGTCGCTGTCCCGCCGGCCCTCTACCAGCTTGGCCGCCCCCGTTTAGGTTCCGCTTGCCCTCTGCCGCCTACCCCCCGAGGAAGAGCAATCAGCTTCACGATCCCTCGAGGGCGAGGTCCTGGTTGGTACGCCCGAGGTGTCGCGAGATTGGAGCCGCCCTCGCTTTGCTTCTGCGACCTTCCGCCACCATCCCCCCAAGGAGAGACGTTAGCGTCTCCATCCCTCCGAGGCGAGGCCCTCTCTGGAACGCCCCGGGTGCCGTGCCATGCGGCTGCTCGGTCTGCAACCCGAGGGATTTCCAGGGGGCATCTCCTGGGAGGGTCGCGTCCTTGTTCGTGTCATCTGCCATACTCTTCGGCCGGGTACCGTGGTAAATCTGAGATTCGGAGTTGCTGCTCAGTGCTGCTCGACCCAAGGCTCGATGCCAAGACCTGGCATACCCTCCGACATCTTGACAAAACGCATCCTTGGCTATACGTTTGCTGCGCGCAGGAGTTACCCGAAAGCACGGGCGCCCCTTGGTGCGCGGCCTCCCGACCGTTACATGCAACATGCAACGGCAGCTGCCCCCCCCCACCCACCCACCCCTCCTGCGCCCCGCCGAAAGCCGCGCACAGACAGGTCACTGTGGCGAAGGGTCAATCTGACGCACAGCTGGCCACAACGATCCGAGCAGGAGATCGACTACAGAACTGCTGCACCCCAAACTTGTCTTTTCGTTGATTCTGCGAACATTGCATCTAATCTGAATGAATCAACGAGCTTTCCTGATAGAGTTTAGGCCCGTCGGGACAACTCTGGGATCCATCAATTCTGTAGTCGACTTCCTGCTCGAACGATCTGCGCCTTGTGAGCGATGGCCCGGCGAAGTGCGCCACCGAGCTCGCGGCCAGCCGCGCCAGTGCCTCCACCTCTCGGCGGCCGGGCGCGGGCGGAACTGCAATAACGCGGGCTGGTCGTGGGGTCGGGGGAGCTGGATTTTTCCAGGCAGGGGAAGGGTGGCAAGGGCGAAGCGAGCACGAGGTCGCTCGCTTTTGAAGAACCTTCTTTGCTCCTTCTCCTCCTGCTCTTTCTCCTCCTCCTCCTCCTCCTCCTCCTCCTCCTCCTCTTTCTCCTCCTCCTCCTCCTCCTCATCCTCCTCCTCCTCCTCCTCCTCCTCCTCCTCCTCCTCGTCCTCGTAGGAAACGGCGCCTGGACGCGCTGGAGGCGGGCCTGCGGCGAATCTGCGGCGGCGGAGGTGCACCCGAGCCAGGCTCCGCGGGACCGGGAGCTGGCCGCCCGTCCGGCGCAAGCTGCAGCTGCTGGCGATTGCGTCTGCGGAGGCCGCCGCCATCGCCGCCACGCGGCCTGGCACGCGGCGCAAGCGCCCGCCGAGGGCTTCGCCCGCGCCTCGGCTGCGGCCGTTGCCACGGCTTCTGGCCTCGCGGGCAGCGGTGGCAGCCCGAAGGCAGAGGCCGAGCAGCTTTTCGCACTGGCATCGAGTATGCCAAGTTCGACCTGGCAGACGTCGGCCTCGGGGTTGCGCCTGGATGCTGGCTTGCGCCAGACTGGAGCTCTCAGGCCGTCGCCTTTACGGACGGCTCTGCTGCGGGCTGGCGGCTGGCCGAGGTCTCGGACAGCATGGTTACCAGGGATATGGAGAACGTCGGAGATGAGATCGTGGAGATCGTCGTCGATGAATGCGTCGGGGAGGTGCCGCAGCTGAGCACCTCGGCGACGCAGCTCGACGACGACGACGACGACAACTTCCAGTTCGGCAAGGCGGAGCTGCCCGCCGTGCAGCGGATTGCGGAGCTGCCCAACCCGGAGGGGAGGCTGCACGATGACTTCGGCATCCAACTGGAGACGCGCGTGCAATCGGCCGACGAGTCCGACTACGGCATCGACGAGGTGCCGAAGGACGTCGGCCTGAACGTGGACGAGGAGCGGGCCAGCATCGGCCCCAGCGAGGTGTCCAGAGGCGCGGCTGTTCATGACGATTACGCTGCGCTGGCAGAGGCCTTCAAGGCCAAGGCTCCCAACGACGATTTCGACGAACCCGAGTTCGGCGAGCACGTGGACGCGAGTACGCTCCACCTCTTGTACGGCTCGGACCCCCCCTGGTCGAGGCCATGCTGGAGCAGGGCCTGATGGGGTGCCACGTCAACGAAATTCTGGGCGCAGGCCCCGTCGGCGCCTCCTCGAGGACCTGGTGGATTTCGGCCTGGAGGAGGACGAGATCGAGGCGCTCGTGGCCCAGGTCGCGGCTCACTTCCTCAACACAGGAGCTGCGCAGAGCTCAGCGCAAGTACGAGGTTGCGTTCGTCGACGGGCAATCGGCCCCACGCTGAGGGCTCAGTCTGAGGGGCCGTGCCGAGCGCTGGAACCGCGAGTTTGACTCGGCTGGGACCCGCCGAAGGGCGATGGTCCCCAAGCGGATGGCAGGCGCGCGGCCGCCGAGGCGCTGGGCGTGGCTCGAAAAGCCGGGGCCTGGCGCGGGCCGCCGGGGGCCTGTCCGTTCGGGGTGTCCGCGGGGCGGCCGCTGGCGGCTGCTGGGGGCTTGGTCTCGGGCCGCGGGTTGCCTGGCTGTGGCCTCCCTCCTCGGGGGTCCGTCGCCTGGGCAGCTTGCTTTCGGTGTGTCCTTGGGCTCCTCGTCGCCGCCTCTTGGGCCGTCGCCGACGCGCGCTCGAGGCATCACTGGTTTCAGGCCGCTTGCTCATGTTCCTCCTCCTCCTCCTCCTCCTCCTCCTCCTCCTCCTCCTCCTCCTCCTCCTCCTCAATTCCTGTCCTTATAAGTAACTTCTCCCTGTCGCATACCGAGGCCAGATCTTAGGGCTGGCCGGGCGTTTCGCCTGAGTCTTCCTCACCATGGGCGACCCTGAAACTTCAAACTTGGCAACCGTTTCACACATGGAGGGCGGGTGGTTGTCAACATGTGGCTCTAGAGCACCGTGCGCATTCGTTGATTGTCCCCCACATCCAAAATGGGTTTCTTGTTTTCTCTGGACACCCCGCGCAACAACTGGATGGAACGAACGCACCCTCTTTTTCCACTCCCACACTCACACATTCACATCACCACCGTAACATCAACACACTATCTCTTACACACTCAATCGCACTCACCCGGCCACGTTCATGCACCCACTCACATTCACTCGATTATCCTGGGTGGCTCAGTCACCCACTCACGCACTCACAACTACAGTTCATCGCTCATCGCTCATCGCTCATCATCATCATGATCATCACCACCATCATCATCACCATCCCCATCATCATCACCATCATCACAACACCACCGTCACCTTCGTCGTTATCGCACACTCACACACCCACACGCCTAGCTGGAGGAGGTTTCAGGCGAGAGTTTCGTCTGTGACTGTTCACCATCACTACCACCCGTCACCATCGTCACCCATCACCCGCCACTATCGTCACCGTCACCATCGTCCTCATCATCGGAGGAAGTCTCACGCGGGAGCCTCGTCTGTGAGTGGATTGCGAAGAAGTCTCAGGCGGGAACCCGTTTTCTATGGGGCCCGCGCTTCATGTTCGAATCCGAATCGGGGGGTCCACCTCCTTAACTGTCGTCCCTTTGGGCCCCTGAGGCCTGAATATGGACGACTGGTCAGGCGGGAGCGTCGTCTGTGAATGAATTGCGAGGACGTCTCAAGCGGGAACACCCTCTCTATCGGGCCCGCGCTTCATGTTCGAATCCGAGGCAAGTCATCGGCCTCTTGTGACTGTCATCATTTTGGGGCTCCTGAGGCCTGAATATAAAAGAACTATCAGGCGGGAGCCTCGTCTGTGAGTGAATTGCGAGGACGTCTCAGGCGGGAACCCCCTCTGTATTGGGCCCGCATTTCATGTTCGAATCCGAGGCCGGCCATCGGCCTCCTGTAACTGTCATGATTTTTTGGTTCCTGAGGCCTGAATATACAAGAATTTTCAGGTGGGAGCCTCGTCTGTGAGTGAATTACGAGGAAGTCTTAGGCGCGAGCCCCCTGCCTATGGGGCCCGCACTTCATGTTCGAATCCGAGGCGGGTCATCGACCTCCTGTAACAGTCGTCACTTTTGGGCTCATGAAGCCTGAATGTGGAAGAGTCTCAGGCGGGAGCCTCGTCTGTGAGTGCATTGCAAGGAAATCTCAGGCGGAAGCCCCCTCCCTATGGGGCCCGCGCCTCACGTGCGTTCTCCGGGTCGTCCTCCGGCGCGCGCTTCCTCTGGGTTGTCCTCCGGCGCGTCCCCGCTGGGACGCACGTCGTGCGTTTCCTCTGGGTCGTGTTCCGCACAGGGAAGAGGAGGAGAAAAAGGAGGAGGAGGAAGAGGAGGATGC